TTGTGAGAGAAGGGAGAATACCAAACAAATATACACACCACTGAAACCAAACTTCTCCACTTGCAGGGCCCACTTTTGGCGTAGGTTAAGATTTCTGGAAACCCCCGAAATCTGGGTTAGCCCGCTTGTCCTTAAAAGCGACAAATTAATAAACAACAACGGTTTGCTTGGGTTTTCAACTGTAATTAAAATTTGTTCAACTTTCTCGTCGTAGCAAAGTCTCGGACACATAAAAGCCAGCACGAACGTACGGATCACGATACTACCACCTCGGATGATTTTTTAATTTTTTAGTTGTTTTTTTTTGTGGAGGGAGGTTAGTTTTGTTTTATTTGTTTTGCTTTTCTTTTCTTTTCTTTTTTTTTTTTGCAGCTTGTGTTTTGGGGTTTTTTTGTGGTGTTTTTCCCCCTCTTACTTTATCTATCGCCTATCTTGAGTTCATAAAGAACAAACATTTTAGCGAATAATTTGTTGTGGATGTTCGACTGCACGCCGCGTGTTCTGGGGTGGTGCAAAGTAGAAACATTAATTGTGCCACTTTCCTCAAGACGTGTTAGGGTACTACCAGCGATGATGATGATGATGATGATGATGATGATGATGGTGATGATGATGATGATGATGATGATGATACAGTCGAAGTCGAACCTGCTCTAACGGTCACATGTCTAAGACAATCAGCAGTACAAAAGATCATTTCCAACTTATCCCTTTGCGTTTTTTACAATATTGCAGTGACCCTGTTCAAGACACCAACCTGTCTAGGACAACCACTTTTCTCCCCCACAACGGGTCTTTGATTATTTCCAGTGTATTTTCATCATGTTCAACCGGCACAGCGGGCCCCAAGGGACGTCCTAGTTACTGATCTTTGTCTACTAGTTTCTATAATACTCGTGTGTGTGTGTGTGTGTGTGTGTGTGTGTGTGTGTGTGTGTGTGAGTGAGTGTGTGTGAGTGTGTGTGTATGTGTGTGTGTGTGTGTGTGTGTGTTTGCGAGAAAAAGCCCTTGACGCCTGACGTCATGTGCGTGCGTCCATTGTACGTTAGATCCACTTTCGGTGTGTATTGAAATGTAAAATAAAACGGTGAAAGAATGCGCAAGATTTTCACGGAAAAACAAAAACAATGTGTAATAATGGATTGTTTGATCATCAAACGAGTTCCTTTGTCTCGTTCTCACATCGTTAAGGAAAGTGAACATAGTTATAGCATTTTAAAAATACATGTACATATAATGTACACACGATAATCATAATCAGTTACATTCCAACAAAAATACTGAATTCATGATACAATATTCCAAGCACGGCACTGTACGTGTTTTAGTCATCTTTATCGATGACATAACTAATAAGCAAATATTCAATGAGGGCAAGTTTAAGGTTTAATTAAGCCGGAAAAAAAAACCCCCTCGGGCGACAGTCCAATAGTCACTTTCATATTTTGGGGTTTTCGGCTTGAGGGAAAAGGGGGGGGGGTATTTTAGTTGTTTTATGTTTTACACTCAGTACATGTATTCATCTTCTTCTTTTCAAGGGAAATGAAGTCATGCAACATATTAGACGCTGTCGTGAAAAGGATTTAAAGCTATGACATCAGAGCTTCATGGTCTCCTATACAAAGTCCCCCTAAGCTCTTCACTCTGTGCTCGCCCACCAATAACCCTTCTCATGTTTCGTCTTCCACAAGGTCGTTTGGAATTTTTTTAATAAAAGGGGGAGGGAGGGGGGGGGGGTATTCATGTATAGCATAGTGGTCTGCCTTTGAAATGTTGACCTACACGCATTGTAAGGGATGAAATGTTCACAAGACCAGAAGAAGAAATCTCTCTATCTCGTAATAAAACAAAGACTTAAAATAGGAGAGCCACATCATAGGGAAGTACAACATTATAAGTCAACGAGCACACAGTCATGTCGCACAAAGTATACAATACCGAAACGTCCAAAGACACGTGACAACAATGAAAAAAAAAGTAATGAAAAAAACAAACAAAAAAACCCTGAATGACGTCAGTTTAACTCAAATCGTTGTTGGAGAATTACCGAAAAATCTTAAAAATTAATTATTTAAAAAAATTATAGTGCGGTCAAAAATTCGTGACGCAGCTTATCCTCAAATATTTCTTTAACGGACGAATCAATGCCACCCATATTTTGCACAGCAGTTTGCATCAATTTGTTTAAACTAAACGATTTTTTCCACAACAATTGAGGTTAGATTAAAAAAAACACATTTTTCTTCATAAATTTATATAGAATTAGAATACTATAAATCTCCGCCACACGGAAATGGGATTGTTCACGGCGCTTCCTGCTTCTGAAACACATTTTGCATACGCATATGAGCTACATCACAGGTCACCAATGACACGTTTTAGTGTCAAAACTAGTTACAAGAAATTAATTTTGTTGTGAACACGTGTTTAGCACAAACAGTTCTCAAAGCTTGCGTTCAATAAGCATAATGTGGCGATTAGAAGAAATAAAAAAGAAGAAACATGACGGACTTGCTTTTAAAAGCGATATTGTCCGAGGTGTAAACCTTTTAAAAATCTATAGAAGCAACCCACTGAGATGTTTAATAAGTAGCTATTAAGGAATGTTCTAGAATACAGCTAACATGTATTTACAAAAATATTGACTTGTTAAGACAATTGGTACAGATCACAGTGTAAAAGCTGGAAACTTCATGTTTGATAGCTGAGGAAATATTCATATTTTTTATATTTTGACCAACAGTAAGTTGCGCCACGAATTTTCGACCGCACTTATTTCTTCGTGTGTTGTTCCCAAGACCCACGAAGAACAAAACGTGACGTCACTGCCGAACCCAGTCGGCTGACTGACTGCAAAGGAGTGAAAACATTTTAACGCCGTAATCGGCACAATTTAGATCATTTGGGAGGCAGGCTTCTCCGACCCTTACTTTTACGGCAAACGGGGGGTTAATACGATACAGCTTGACCCTTACTTTTACGGTTAATAAGATACAGTTTGACCCTTACTTTTACGGTTAATAAGATACAGCTTGCTAAGGGATTGACAGAGATTAGATCTCAATATAATTTTAAAATTTTCTCATTCCAGAATTTCGCTCACACATCGCTTCGAGTGCAGAAATGATGGGCCACGCCATTACACCTACAGCAAACACATGTGTTATCTATTGTGGAAAACGGCAGGAGATATTCAGAGACGTCTCCGGCGAGCACCAAGGAACTCTTCGGAGACGCACTCCCGCACACAGATGCACTGCTTTTGGGGGTCAAACTGGGTATTGTTTGCCGCAGATCACACATATAGCCACTAAAACTGTCGCAAATCAATTATTTTCAAGAAATTTCACACCCAAATGCAAAATATCAAATTATGGGTTCAAACAGGGGGGCGTGCACAGATTTGTTTCCTTGGTCTACAGGTACAAAGCATTTTGCTTGGTCTATCTCCGTCGGAGGCGTCTCCGGATAGATACTGCGGTGGAAACCTACCCAGTTCTTTCGTTCATCGTTTGCCCTGCGGAAACTTGTAATCAAGCAAGTCAGGGGAACGGCAAGTTTTCCCAGCAGTCACGTCTAACCATTCATAGTCTAGGGGGTTGGTCTTAGTTCTCAAATGTACCGAAACATTACGAGAAGAACTGCCCAAATGTCTAAAATTAGAAATCTTTTCATCGTCGTTTCAAAACTGATCGTTGTTCTCAAATAAATATCCGCTAAAACTTCACCAGTGGAATGCTAAAAAAAAAAGTTTTAAAATAAAATAACATACTTCATCTTCTTCTTTTCTCACTGATTTTTATTTTCAAATGTGCTAGCATCTCGGAAGAGTATCTGCGACTTTTTCGCTTTGATGGCTTTACAATCGGTCTAGATCCGTCTTTTGTTTTGAGTTGAACAACTTGCGCGTTGTAATACTTCAGTGTACAAGTAAGATAACACCAATCAGTTGTCAAGATGCTGCCGCTAAAAGATCGTCCAAAGTTGTCTGGTGTAAGCTGAACTTTAATACCAACCCATGGCATAATCAACCAGTTTAAGGAAGAGAGAGAGAGAGAGAGAGAGAGAGAGAGAGAGAGAG